GCAGCCAGGGCAGCACAGGGTGTCACTGGGGTGCTTGGGGCCTTCGAGGCTGGGGGGCACCCTAGGGGCAGTAATTCTGCCTCCACACACACTGCTCACCTCCATGTGCTGCCCCAGCTGCCTGCTGCTGTGGGAGAAGCTGAAGCAGCTGAGCATCTCCTCGGTGCTGGCACAGCGAGCCACAGCCGGGGCATGCCAGGTGAGCCCCGACCACACCGAACGACAGTACAGCTGCTGCTCCTCTGCAACGGGGCCCATGGTGTCAGCGGTGGGGTGGACCCACAGTGACACCCACAGTGTCACCCAGTGCCCATGGCACAGGTCAGGCTCCATCTTCCCCACCCTCTGCATGCAAACCCAGGCTCAGCCATCCTCAGCACAGCTCAGAAAGGGACATGCCCTGCCAACACGCTATTGCTTTAATCCCAGCATTTTTTTCTGGATGAGGACAGAGCTCTGCCAGGCACCCAGCAGGCAGCAAGGTCTTTACCTGCACTCAGCTGTGTGGGCAGCCCAGCCACTCTGTTCGGTGTCTGGAGCCTCTGGTCCTCTGGGAACCACGTCATGTCCATGACATTCTTGGTGGAGAAGTGCAAGAGGCGCTGCCGGAGCTCGGCGAGGCTCAGCTGGGGTTCAGCGCTAAGCAGCATGGCAGCAAGGCCTGCAAGAGCCCAGGGGGCTGCAGTGAGAACCAGGGGACATGCAGATATCTACACAACGTTCCCTTGAGCAACATAACTCCAGAGAGGCAGGAGAAGGCATCCCTGCAGCCCACTGCCCACACACACAGGATGTGGGAGTTCTGTGCAGGCAGCAGCACCCAAATGAGACAAACATGCCAAAACCATGGCATCATGGCACACAAAAATGTCCCCAGCTGAGGCATCCCTGATGCCCTGTGCCTACAGGGACATGTGCTCAGCACCAGTAAGTGGAAGGTCAGCCCTTCCTGCCCCCGCCAGAGCCCAGCTCACCTGCCACATGTGCAGCTGCCTGTGAGGTCCCGCTCTGTGCTGTGAAGCACGTGCTGCAGTCACTGGAGGCACCGATAATGTCATCCCCTGGGGCAAACAGGTCCACACAGTGGCCAAAGTTGGTGCCCAGGATGCCGATGGAGGCGGGTTGGTCCTCACTGTTGGTGGCACCGACGGTGATGACCTGCCAGGGCAGCGACAGAGGGGAGCACAGGCAGGACAGGATGCACAGCCCCAGCCCACTCAGCTGACCTGGCACAGGAGGGAATAAGGTGGCACCATGTTCCTGCATGTGCCCAAGCCTCAGGGGACCCCCACAGCCCATACCTCCGGCTCAGACGCAGGTGAGTAGAGACAGGCATCGTCCTTGTAGTTGCCAGCAGCCGCGACAATCACCACCCCATCCTGAGCCACGCGCCGACAGCCAGCATTCAGCACACGGCTGTGGGCACCGGCCAAGGGCAGCACCACCACCAGGGGCACGTAGGGCTGAGCCTCCAGCCTCATCTTGATGAACTCCAGGGCTGAGAGGGACAAGACACTATCGCAGGAGGGGGACGAGGCGGGGAGCTTCAAAAGGGAATGTGCTCCTCTCCAAGGCGTGGGGTCACTCACCCATGAGGGTCCTGCTGACGGTGCCCTTCCCCTGGCAGTTCAGCACTCGGAAGCTGTGAACTTTGGCGCCGGTGGCCACGCCGGCGTCACGTCCGTTCAGCACCCCGGCTACGTGGGTCCCATGGCTGTTGCACTTGCTGGCCTGGAGCAGGCATCCCAGTTTCATGCCCCAGCCCATTGTGTCTAAGCAGGTTTGCAACCCCAGAGCATCCTCCCCGCTCCATCCTGCCTGGATTACCTCTTGCAACAATACCTGACGCGTACCTGTGCCCCTCCAGACTGCTTTCCCCAGAAAGAAGACCTGCCCTGCTCAGCCGCAGCTCCAAATAGACCACATGGAGGGCCCCAATATTTCCAGGACCACAACTCCTGCTGTTGCATGTCCCGCCCAGCATTTTGCCCCAAGCCAAGTCTCCCCCTTGTCCTGGGAAGTCCCACAAGCCTGGCCAGGGTTGGTGGATGCAGGGGGATGCTCTTGCCAGAACGCAGCATGTGGCATCTCGGGGCTTACCTGCCTATGGAAGTGGGTGCTGTCCTCCTCAGGGACACTCTCGAAGCCAGTCACAAACACCCTTCCCTCGATCTCCCGGTGGGTGCTCTGCACGCTGGTGTCCAGCAGATAAATCTCCACAAGTTCACCTTTATCTGTCAGGGATGCAGCCAGGGGGAAAGGCAACCACCACCGCAGTCAGCCCAGGCCATCTGGCCTGCTCTCAAAATGCAACTCCAGACCCACAGCACCATGGGCCAGGGGGCTATCCCCATCCCTCAAGATCAGGAGAGAGGATGGGGTCAGTGACCCTTCCCCAAACCCCTATGGTCACCCCCTCACACCCCAGTGCTTACTGGGAGGGTTGTAGGTGCCTGAGTTGGGCTGTAGTGGCACAATCCTGCCCAGGTTCCAAGGAATGCTCTGGGCAAAGACATAGGCATCCTCCTCAATGTACTTCACATGTGGCAGCTTCAGCGCCTGCGGGGAGGAGATACAGTGCCCAGCGTGGTGGCAAAGCTCCTGTTCACCCTGAGGTGGGAACTGCTTCCCCCCACCAGTGCCTACCCCTGCTACTGCCCTGCGCCACGACCCTGTCCTCCATCCCACATACCATGTCCAGGACGTCGCTGCTCATTCTCACCAGGAAGGCAGGCAGGAGGTGGAAGACGTGCAGCAGCTCGGTCAGGTGTCCCCGCCGAGCCGCCCGGGCTCGCAGACGTCGCGCTGTGCCCCGCACCTCGGCCCCACTGCTGCCCTCCTGCAACACCACCACGTAGCGCCCGGGCAGCCTCCACGACGCCTGTGGGAACACAAGCACCGGGCTGGGGCTTGGGACACACACACACACACACAGACGCGTGGCTGTCCCCCCATCCCACTCTCCTCACCTTGGCGGCGCGATGGAAAGCGGCGGGTCCCGGTGGGGCGGCCCCGACGGCGGCTGCCCCCCCTTCTGCCGCCCCCAGCGTCAGCCCCAGCTCCTCCGCCAGCGCCAGCACCAGGGCCAGCACCAGTCCCCGTGGGGACATCCCGCCCCCGCGCCCCGCTGGGCACAGCCGGGGGGCGCCGCGACCCTCAGCGCCGGGGGGACGGCGCCGGCGGGGAGATGCTGCGCGACCGCCGAGGGGCCGGAACGCACCCGCGGGGCCGAGGGGCCGGAGCGGGGCTGAGGGGCTGGAGTGGGGCCGAGAGGTCGGAGCGCACCCGCGGAGCCGAGACCCGGGGCGCACCGGCGGAGCCGATGTTCCGGAGCGCACCGGCAGGTCCTGGAGCGCAGCGGCGGCCGCGGCTTTGCCCGTCGCGGCGAGGGCTCAGCTCGGCGGGGCGGCGATCACGCCACGGCCGGCGGCCCCAGCGGCCCACCCAGGCGCGTTAACCACTAACGGGGCCGCGGGAGGGGGCGCGGGACGCTGGGTCACGGCGCGGGGGCGCGGGGAGAGGGATGGGGGGGACGCTGCTCACCCCGAGTCCCGGCGCATCGCTGGGGGCTCTGGCGAGCAAAGTGCAGCCGCTCAAGGACTAATTTCAGAAAGGGCTGAACGCTTTAATGTGCCTCCTACTGCTTCACTCCAGGGATAAATTCCCATGAAAGCCTCTAATCCTGTTTGGGCATTTTTTACAGAGTCGTCACACATCTTAAATATCCTTTTTGCGGGATGCGGTTCGGTGCTTTCCCGTGGCTCTCCCGGCTGCTTCCCACCTCTGCCCTCCTGCAGCGCCAGGTTCCCACACTGCCCCATATCCCCGATGACCTTCGGCAAGTCCTGTCCCTGCTCCCAGCTTTTCAGGAAAATAGGGATATATTTATTTTTTATTGGTTATTTTTAAGCTTCTCGGAGCTTATATGTTTATATGAATGTACATGTTTTATATGGATGTGTATGTTTCATATGGATGTGTATGGTTTGTGTGGACATGTATGTTTTATATGGATGTATATAGTTTATAGGTATGAGTATGTTTTCTATGGATGTGTACAGTTTATGATTTCTTAATGAGACCTCAAGTGGGTGCCTTCACCCTGGGTTGGGTAACTGGGGGAGACCAGACCCCACTTGTCACCCACTTTCCTCCGCAGCAAGCTGACACTGGAAGAGTCAGTGTCCAGGACACTGATCGTGGGGACAAGTCTCACTCCTGATTTTTGGCTCAGCTTCATCAGTGCCGCTAAGTCCCACAATACACCACTGGTGCCTTAGGACACTTTCAGGGCAACTGAGAACTGGGGCACCCCATCTCGAGGGAGACAGTCTCCCTTTCCCTGCAGTTGCTCCCTTCCGTTTTGCCAGGGGACAAGCTGTGTCCCAGGGAAGGATGGAAGGAGCCCAAATAGTAGGAGGTGGCAAAGGCCCTCCAGCCCCACACACACCTGGACGTGCTGAGGAACCCAGAGAGAGCTCGGCATGAACATCCAGCACCAGAACTGGACTGAGAGTGTGAGAGATGCCCAGCTCTGGAGCTCTCTCCAGGAGTAGATATCTGCAGAAAGATTATTTATTTAATTGAAAAAATATTCAGAAATAGCCCAAAACTTGCACCTTGTAGAGAAGAGATCTGATTCGGTCCTGGCACCCTGGGGTGCTTCCAGTAGCGCTTCCTCCTGCTGCTGAGAGCAGCGGGATCACCGGCTGTGTCCGTGTACAGAGGGGGGTCCTGTTGAGGGGGGAGGAAGGAGAGAGCAGAGGAGGCATCAGAGAGGACTGCAACAAGGGGGAAGAATCCTTGTTGCGCTCTATTCCCGGGGAGCCGCAGGGCTCAGAGCGGTGCGGACAGGGGGCTGGGCAATGCTGGGCCGGACTCTCTCCCATCCCGTAGCATAAAAAAACACGGCACTTTCCCGGGATGTTTCTGCGCAATTTACAGGAGCTTGATAGTTCTCTGACATGGCGCTACACATCAGAAAAGGCCCACTTCGTATTTGCACCAGCCGGGAATCGAACCCGAGTCGCAAGAATGGGAATCTTGCATGATACCACTACACCACTGGTGCGCTGATGTCATTCTTCCCCGCGGGCCCTCAAGTGCACGGGCACCACCCCACCCCACGTGGCTTCCTCTTCCTCTCTTTCATCGGCTCCCTGCCGCGGAGTCCCTGCGGGTGGGTGACACTCGTGGGCGGCGAGCGAGTGGTAATTCCTCCCCCCACCCCCAAAAGCCGGGCTGCTCGCTTAATGCCATGCAAGAATGTACCGATTCCCACAATGTTTAACCTCGGCCGGCGCAGGAGCCGAGTCCTTCGGCTCAAGGATGCTGCGCCAGGGATGGGGGGACTCATCCAGCTGCGCAAAGGGTCCCGTGGGAGGGAGGGTCAAGGCCCCGTGTCAGCCCCCTCCCCTGCCCCATCGGAAGAAATGCTTTTGGAAAGTAAATTTCTTTTGCCAAAAGCAGTAGTGAGTGCCAGGACATGAGATAGCACACCTCTCCTCTGAGGAAAGGCTGAAAGGGCTGGGAATGTTCAGCCTGGAAAAGGCTCCAGGAACACCTTGGAGCCCTTTTCAGTAGAGGGGGTGCAGGAGAGCTGGACAGACACTTCTGACAAGGGCATGTAGTGATAGGACAAGTGGGAATGGCTTCAAACTGAAAGAGGGCAGGTTTAGATTAGATATTAGGGAGAAATTCTTTACTGTAAAGGTGGTGAGGCACTGGCACAGGTTTCCCAGAGAAACTGTGGCTGCCCCATCCCTGGAAACATTCAAGGCCAGGTTGGATGGGGCTTGGAGCAACCTGGTCTAGTGGAAGGTGTCCCTGCCCATGGCAGGGAGGTTGGACTAGATGGTCTTTAAAGGTCTCTCCCAGTCCAAACTGTTCTATGTTTTTAGAGGCAAAAGTTTTCAGGTCTCTACCAGATTCCCACACTCCATAGGAGCCAGAGACACAGGGTGACATCCTGCCCCAGGCACCCTCTGAAACTCGGTGAGACACGGCCTCCTTCAAACAGTGTCCCTGCAGCTACCACACCCACCCCCCACCAGGAAGGACAGGCAGGAGTATGTGTAACCAATTTGTTATTGCTTCCTCCCAGACAGCTGCTCTCACTCCTGTGGCAATGTTTGGCCAACACTGGAGCCTCCATTCCCCACCCTCCTGTTGCCTGTAAATACCTCGAGTGCATAAGTGCTCCGTGCCCTTCTCCCTTGCTGCTTTGGTGATGCCAAGGTGAGTGAGGGGTGCAGTAACACCAGGAGGTGTGTCACAGGGGCCTGAAGCCCCAGGTAGAGGCGCTTCTTGCACACCCTGGACTGTTCCAGCACAGAACTCCCTGGTCAGCAGGGGAGCACAGGGAGCATCCTTCCAGGGCTCTTATGCTTCATCCTCCTTAGGTGATGGAGGACAGCTTTCCCTGTATTTTTGGGTTTGGGTGATTGGAACTAGATGATTTTTGAGCTCTCTTCCAACCCAAACCATTCTGTGATTCTACAAAATTTGCAGAAGAGCTGCTGTGTCAGCACACATGTGCTCCCACGCCTCCTGGGGCCATGCCATGCACAGGCAGCATCCAGCTCAGCTTTCCCAAAACAGGGTGAGGGAGTCTCAGAATCCCCACACTGTAGATCTGCTGGTGGTTAGATCCAAACCTACCTCCCTGGGGAGGCTCAGCCACACAGATCCCCATGGTCTCAAGCAAATAAAGGGCAGGCAGAGGTCACGACTCCCACCAGTGCTGCCATCTCTTCATGGTACAAGTAGTCTGGGGTAGTTGCTGTGTCACCTCTGTCATGGTGACAAACCAGGCTTAGATCCATCAACATGGTTTGAAACAAATACTTATTATTCAGAGAGAGTTTGGGGATGGTGGGTGCCAGTGTGCGAGCCCACCCACAGCCCTGTGGTTGTTGACACTGACCCAGTGCAGGTGCCCAAAGTCACCACCTCAAGTGCCATCACCAGGGTTTTGGCTGAGCTGAATCCTCCTCTTTCTGCTTCCAATGGCACTGGAAGCTGGTCCTCGTGCAGAAAATGAAGGACAGCACAGTCTGTCACCTCCATCACCCCTCTCCCAACCGAGAGACATGAAGGTTACCTGCTGCAGGAGTCTCAGGATCTGATTTTAATTTCAGGGGAGCTTGGATAAGTGGGAGAATGACTTTGAGGACATCTCTGCCTCATCAAGCCCACCTGGTGTGAGCACATCTTTACCCACCTAAACTTGATCCTGTTCCAAGCAGCAAAACTAATGCTTTTCCTTCCCAAGCACAGTATTTCTCCCAGATCCTGCCCAGCCCAGTTTCTCTGTACCCATCCAAAGGGCTCCAGCGAGGGAGGCTTTGTCCTATATGCTCTGGAATTCAGGAGGCAGTCCCCCATTTGAGTTTTGGGGGAATAAAAGCCTCCAGAAAGGCTGGGTGTGTCCAAGGGGTGCAGAAGCCTGGGGGACCTTCTGTGCTGCAGGCGCTGCACTTTGGGGGCATCCCCTTTCCTCCAGGCTGTGATGTTTGCATCCCCTCCGTGAGATAAGTCCATGCCAAGTGGTCATTTTATCTGGGAAATCAGTTTTCAGGCTCAAAAAGGCAGTCACTGTCCTTGAGCAGAGCATCCGGCTCCTCTTGGAGCCCATAATAAAGGTCATCCTCCTCCTCAGCACCTTTGTGGGGGGATCCGGAGTGCTGTCCCCGCACTGGGGAGCTGGTCGAGGTGCAGCCAGAGCGAGCAGTGGATGGCAGGGTCCGACTCTGTGGTGTGGGGGTGCCGGGCATGGAGCCCTCTAGTGATGGTGTGTCCATCTCCTCCAGGAGGGATGCCAGCGGTGCATCCCCTGGCACCGGACGAGGGGGGCTGTGGGGACAGGGAGGGCTGATGGGTGGTGTGGGAGTTACACCAAACACAGCTGGGGTTTCCTTTGGAGCTGGTGGCTGCTGAAGCATTGCTCAGCCAGCATCCCAGCATCACCAGTCCCCTTGCTGGGTGGCTGGAGCACCCTGGGAGCACACTATTCCAGCCACCTCATGCATGGTAGATTATAAGGACATCTACCTGCCATATTCCTTCTGCCCACGGACAAAGTGGTGGCTGCCCTTGCCTTTACTGCATCCCAAGTGGAAAGCAGTGCACCCAATCCAGCTGCAGATGCATCCAAATCCTACGCCCTGAGCCTGCATGGTTCACTCCATCACTTGCAAATCCCTTTGGGACCTCCCAAACCAGCACTTGGACATCATACATGGCATCTGGTTTGCTGATCAAGTACTGGGCATCTCATTGCTACCAAAGTCTGACCAGAAACTTGGGGTTTATTCTGGTGAGGAATGTTATTTGTATTGATAAAATTAAAGGAAAATGCAAATTACAACCAAAGCCCATCCTGATTTCTTCCTGGGAAATAATTTGGTACAGAGACTCCCTGTGGGTTGAGACACCATCCAGGCTCCACAGAGGCTGGGGAGTCTGGGTACTCAGTGCTGTGTGAGCAGCAAAGACCCCTCTGCCTCCTTTCCCTCCCCTGGGAGGACCTGGTCTAATCCCTCCCATTTTCACCCTGCATCCCACCAGTGTGACCCCGACCCCAAAAGCATCACATACCAGCTGCCTGCCACTGTTTCCAGATGAGGTGCCAGGTCTTGTGGGGGGTGTCCAGCACCCCCCAGCTCCCGGTGGACCTCTGCTTTGGCCTGCATGGCTGACTGGGAGCAGCTGTGGGATCTGGGCTGTGCCGTGGGTGGGAGTGGAGTTGAGCCCACTGCCTGCCTCTGGATCTGCTCATAGGATGGCAGGCTCTTCTCATAGGTGCTGGTGGCCTCTTGGTCAGGGCAGGGAGCAACCAAGCTGTGGGCAAAGGAATAACAGGGTGCTGAGCAGGACCTGGACCCCATGGAGCTGGAAGATCCTCAGGCACTTGCACAGAGGGCTCCATCAGTTGAGGGAGCGGCTTTAGAGGCTACCAAGGCCACATCACTCCCCACACCAGCAGCAGAGCCAATGGATCCTTGAAGGGGATACCCACAGCTACACAGCCAGATGCTTGGCATCCCCCAGCATCACTCAGGCTCCAGCCTTGGGATGGCTCAGACATCCCTTGCCTGCCCCACCCTGGCTCCTGCTTGGCATTTTGTGCTGCAATCAGTGCAGTTGTCCCCAGTCTCAAACACTGCCCTCATCCCCAGGGCACACCCATAACTCTGTGTACAGATTTTGGGACCCACCCGATGTCCTTCTGTGGCAGCACCGTGGGTTTGTGGTCCAGGAACCGCTCAGCCTCAGGGTCCACAGGAATGAATGTTATCTGGGGGAAAAAGGAAGGAAGAGCCCAGGGGCTGTGCTGGGCACACTCGACCCTCCTTGGTGGTAAAAGGGTCGGAGTGCCCTTTCAGCTGGGTTTAGGGTGTTTTCCCACCACATTTTGATGTCTTGATTGGAAATGGGCTTTTTTGGGCAAAATCAGTAAGGGATGAATGAATCCAGCACAGCTCTTTTCCCCGGTGGAGTCATGCATGTCCCCAAGCCCAGAGCAGGTCCCAGGGCCCACAGGGGAGGTCAGTGGTCAGGGACAACACTGAGAGTGCCCTATCCTTGAGCCCCAAGCACAGCAGCAAAGCCACATCTCCCTCCTCGCTGGGGTTGAGCTCAGCTTTGGGGGGTAACTGGGATCAGCTTCACTCCAATCCCAGGAAACACAGCCAGTTTCAGAGGTCCCAGCTGGTCCCAGATCCTGAGGTCACCGTGCCGCATTTTGGAGGGTAGCCAACTTGTTGACAGGCAGCGCCCAGAGCAGTGCCACAGCCGCCCTCTCCTTTGAAAAAACCCTTTTCTGCTAGACCCGTTTCCCAGGGCAGGGACATGTGGCTGCTCTCCGTGCTGGCAGTGCCCTTTGCCAAGGAGACTGCCAGGTGAGGGCTGTGCTATGGGGGGCCAGGACCCTCCAACATCCTTGGCCTTGACAGTCCTTTCTTGGAAGTCCTGGGAGCCTGCCAAGCCTCAGGCCCCAATGAAGGGGCTAGTTTGGGAAGGGTTTGCATGGGAGAGATAAACACAAGTTTATTTCCTTGGGATTATTCCCTACTGCCTGCTTGGAAGCAAAGCACCAGGCTCTGGGGTTTGAAGGGTGCAGGAGTACAGGGGGGCGAGGGACAAGGGGCTACATCCTGCAGGCATCAGCAGGCCATGAGCATCCCAAGCCAACAATCCCTCCTCCAGATCACTCCAGCTGGCTTCCCCTGGTATCTGCTGCTACCTCACCCCATGGATGGGGAAGCTGAGGCACAGCCCAAGGCTGCACATCCACAGCAGTCAAAGCCCCCCAAACCCAGCTGAGCCCCCAAGCCCCCCAAAGCACTCAGCAGCAGGATGGATCCTACCTTTGGGTAGCACTGGCACATGCTCCAGGTGATGCCCACGGCTATGAGCAGCACACCCAGGACGCAGAAGGTGATGTAGATGTGGGGCTTTTCCACACTCATGATGAAAATTCCCGTCATCACCAGGAAGAAACCCAAGATGATGAACCCGTAACGGAAGGTCTTCTCCTCCGCCATGGGCTCTGGGTGGGAGAGACAGGAAGGAGAGATGCCAGGGAGCCCGTTTACCTGCCACTGCTGCCCGCTGAGCACACCTGCAGCGTAAGGCAAGGAGTGGTTTCTCTTTCCGGAGGCTGCCAGGAGCTGAGGATCAGCTGCACGCTAACCTGGTCCTGCCCAGGGCTGAGCCAGCCAGTTTTTAATGGGTTTGTAATGAATGCAAACACTGACCCGCCATTCACACTCCAGTGAAGCCGCCCGGCACGTGTCCACGTAACCTTCCCTGCGGGCACCCCATGCCTGGGGAAGGAGCAGGGAGGGAGAGGGGGCCATGGCAGTGGAGACAGGAACCTGGAGAGTGGCTGATCCTGTTGGGATTTTCCCAGCCCTGGGCACTGAAGCTGGACTTGGCCATAAACTGGAGCTGGCAGAGGCCCAAATAAGGGGTATATCAGGGTGCAGCACTTTCTCAAGGACTGTGGGGCTGCAACAGGGAAGGAGGGAGTGCTCCATGGTCTTTCTGGAGGCCCATGGGTTTGGAACATCCTTTGTCTTTCTCCGGCTGAGTGCTAAGGCTGCTTCATTGGGCAGCAGGTGGGCTACAAAGGGGGGACTAAAGCCAGGAAAGGATGGAGTGGGGTTGGTCCTCCCAGGGGCAGTGAGGACAGAATATCCCTGTCCCCTGTGTTCGCTTAAGTTGGAGCTGGAGTGTTAGAAGGTGTCCCCTTCCCAAAACATATCCAACAGCTAGACAGTGTTGGTGGCTTTAATTAGCCTTCGTTTTATTCCCTTACTTTCCAGCACATGTGGGAGCACATACAAATAATTATATTATAAGCAATATGTTGTATGTGGCTATGGCTCCAAATCCACTCTGCAGCTCTGCAGGTCCGCAGGGAACCCAGGGCAGCCCATTGTTTTGGTGGGATGGAGGAACCGGCAGTGGCCCCCACAGCCTCTGGCCTCTCCTCTGGGCAAGGCTGCAAACCCACCCATGGTGTGCAGGGAGGGGGCTGTGTGCTCAGGATGGCTCGTTATAGGATGCCGTCTGAAATGCCAAGTGCACTTGGATGCCCTGACCACACACATGAGCCACTGAGCATCTCTACACTACATGAAGTCAGGCGTGGGAAGTCAGTACATCGGGAAGCAAGGTGGAAGGGATGGAGGTAGGGCCAGAAGGGGCACTGCAAAGGCAGAGGAGCAAATGGGGCGGCACAGAGCTGGGTTTTCTCTGGCCAGATTCCTCGTTCTCTGCTGCAGTTTTTATTATTGAGTGGGCAGCCTGAAAGGAGCTCCCAAGGGTGGGGCAGAGCAGGGAACACAAAGCATCTGCAACCAACAGCGGTTTTATTAAAAATATGAAGGCTTTCAAACATGCCAGTTACCCCCAACGCTTTGAATGCATCACCCACAGGACCCGCAATCCCAACAGCCCTGGACTGATAGCTCAGAAAGCCCGGCTGACCCTTTCTCCTCCTCACCCACCCTCCTCTCCTCCCCACAAAGGAAGGGGCTCAGTTTAAAGCTGAGGGACTGGGCAGCCACCCACAGAGTCATGGCCCTTGCTGCCCCCAGCTCAGACCCCTCGGATATTGATGTTTTCATAGCTGGGGGGAGGCGTTGCCTGTGGCTCCTCGGGTTGCAGGGTCTCCAGCCAGGATGGGCTGGGGCGGAACAAGGCGCTGTCGGAGGAGCTGCGCCGGCGGCCACCCTGCCAGCTCTCATCCTCCTCCAGGTAGTGGTACAGGGGTGGCGTGAGATCCTCCTTCCTCCTCGGGGGCTGGACATAGGCCAGGGCACCGTGGGCAGGTCTGCAGGTCAGGGCTTCTTCGTAGGTGGGGATGGCACTGGCATCCCAGTTGCTGCGAGGAAAGAAGAAACCCAGCAGCACACACCATCATCCAGAGCATCCCAGCACCCAATAACTGGACCACCCCAGCACTTGCCAACTGGAGTATCCCTGTGCCCTGTCAACCAGAACCATCCCAGTGTCCCATCAATTGCAGCATCCAAACACCCCTTCAACCCCATCTAAGCATGATGGACACATATACTGGAGACAGCACATCGGCAGGTTTTGCATGCCCAGGATCAAGGGATGACCAAGGTGGGGAGCCATGCAGGAGGAAGGGCATTATCCATCAGACCTTGCGACAAGGTCCCATAGGCAGAAGAGCACCTCCATCACTTGCCTAATTGCAAATTCACCCCTTAGTCACAGAGGCTGCCAGTAGCCAAGGGAGCAGTTTGCCACAAACGTCTGGGCAAGGGGCAGCATTCCCAGTTCAATGCGGTCACATCACACTCTTGTGCCTGCCAGAGCCCTCCATGCACCAGCTAAGCCTGGTGTCACTTCCAGCAGTGCTTTGCTGAGCAAACACAGCTTGTGTACAGGGAAAACCTTTAGACAACCTTTGCCCTGTGCAGGGTCCTGCTTGGCACCCTATGGAACTGTGCAGCCCAAAGCCGGGGAGGCTGTGAAAGCAACTCATCGTTCCAGATGAAATCCAGCACAGTGCACTGGGGAGGTGGTGGGCATCGCAGAGCACAGCTGGTCCAAAGGAAAAGCTGCAATGTTTTACAGGGGTGCCTCCATCCTGAACTCTTGGCAGCTCCCTGTCCCAGACAGACCACCTTGGGCTTCTGTGCTCACAATTTTGCCAAACAGCCTCAGTTTGCATGGGGATGTTGTCTTGGAAATGCAGAGAGAAGGATTTATCCCAGCATAGCATGCTTTGCTGGGGCTGGAGGAGCTGTCACAGCACCAACAGTGCCAGGGCACTGTGTCCCATCCAGTGTGGAAGTTGGAAGCTCAGGGAAAGGGACATTCCCCATGGGGTCACAGCAAAGCTTTCCATGGGAGGTGAAACCTTTCCCCAGAGTACCCAGTCTGGATCACGATCTCACAGACACTCAGATGGGCACTGAAACCCCGGGAGAACCAGGAACGTGCCTCCCACTCCAACTGAAATTTTATGGTTTAATGTTCTTAAGAGTTTCTTTTAGTGCTGCTTTTCCCTAGAGCCTGATTTATGCTGGAGCCAAGATCTTTGCTGTGACCCCATAAAACAGCACTGGGAAGGGCCGGCTGGCTCCATTTCCACTGCAGTCTCTGGGGAAAAAAAAACAACCTTTTGAGCAAGAAACTTTTAAATCAAGAAGTGATCTTCACACTGGAAGAGTCTGGGGCCCAAAAGGCAGCAGTGGTGTTCAGGGCAAGGGGTCTTTCTACACCCGAAAATAGGCTTCATAGAAAAGGACCCTCTAACAACACTCTTGATGCCATTCCAAGGATTATTTTCTTTTTTTTTTTTTT